GTCACCCCCATGCCCGCCACCCCCAAACCCTAACGCATGCAGGAGCGCGGGAAGCAGCAGGGGCGGTTCACGGAGGGAAAGGGAGGCGGCGGGGGGGTCTCCTGGGCGCCAGGAAGGAGCAGGGCGCGGGCCCCCCAAGGGCGCCACGGCGGGTGACAGGAGGGGGGCCGCGCACGGGCCCCCGAGGGCGGCTCGACGGGCGACGGAAGGGGCCGCGCGCGGGCCCCCAAGGTGCCGCAACGAGGCGACGGGAGGGGGCGACGCGCGGGCCCCCAAGGCGCCGCGACGAGGCGACGGGAGGGGCCAGCGCGCGGGCCCCCATGGCGCCGCGACGAGGCGACGGGAGGAGGGCGACGCGCGGGCCCCCAGGGGGCCGCGACGGGCGACGGGGGGGGCAGCGCGCAGGTCCCCGGGGGCGCCACGACGGGCAGAAAACCGCCGCGCGAAGCAGGAAACCGCGGCGCGCCTCGGGGCGCACGGCGGGCAGAAAACCGCCGCACGCCCCGAGCGCACGGTGGGATGAAAAACGCCGCGCGCTCCGAGTGCGCGGCAGGAAGAAAGGGTCGCGCGCCCGGGGCGCGCGACAGCAGTAGAGCAGCGGAAGCATCGGGTGGGGCCCACCCACAGGATCGACCCAGGAGGGTCGACCTGCTCTGATAGCATGTCAAAACTAGTCAGGCAGAAACAAGAATGAAGAAAGGAGGGTTTGCACTAACAGCAGTTGAGATACATATAGGAAACCCTAATTGGGTTGTACTCGCTATAGAGTGCCCCACTGCAGGCTAGACAAGCATGATATTCTGACAGTTTGCGTGCACTGAATTCTGGGCTTTCGGTTGCCACCGAATTGCCTTCTACAGAATTCGGGAAGGGTCTGTTCGGGATGCTTCGTGACCCTCGGAACCTTCGCGTAACACCTGGTTACTGGGCCTTGTGTCGAGCCTATGTATAGCCTCGTATTGTACCCAGGTGAATCATTCAATTCAAACTCTCTTTCCTGAACTCGATCCTAGATCCTCACACCGTTCTACGTTCTCGCGTACGTCGACGACTTGGGTTTTGCTACTGCTTACACTGAGGCACTGGCCCTAGTGAAGGCGGAGCTGCAGGAGAGACACACCTGCACTGACCTGGGTGAACTGCGTAGCTATCTTGGCTTGCATATCACCCGGGACACTGAGGCGCTGGCCCTAGTGAAGGTGGAGCTGCAGGAGAGACACACCTGCACTGACTTGGGTGAACTGCGTAGCTATCTTGGCTTGCATATCACCCGGGACAGAGCACGGCGCACCATCACCCTGACTCAGTCATACATGATGCACCAGGTCCTTCGGCGCTTCGACTTCCAGTACTCCTGGCCACAACCTACTCCTCTGTCTGCCGGCCACTCGCTCTCAGCTCCACCTTCAGACGAGTCTGTAGAGCCGAGTGGTCCGTACCCAGAGCTTGTGGGTTGCCTCTGTACCTGATGACGTGCACACGACCTGACCTCGTGTACCCTCTCAGCCTCTTGTCTCGCTACGTGGCTCCCCGTAGACACCGAAAGGTGCACTTTGATGCTGCGAAGAGGGTACTGCGCTACTTGTGCAGTACATCGGGCATGGGGCTCGTGCTTGGAGGACGAGGTCCAGTGGTACTCACAGGACACTCCGACGCTTCTTGGGCCGACGACCAAGCGACTCAGCGTTCGTTACAGGGTTACACCTTCAGTCTTTGCTCTGGTTCTGTCTCGTGGAGGTCCACTCGTTCTTCTCCTGTGCTTGGTTCCAGCTGCGAGGCCGAGATCTACGCGGGGGCCATGGCTGCACAGGTGCTACGCTGGCTGACCTACCTGCTGACCGGCTTGGGGGAGCGGCCTCGTTCTCCTCCAGTTTTGTACGTCGACAACAAGGCAATGATCGCCTTGTGTCGCGAACAGAGACTGGAGCACAGAACGATGCACATTGCCCTTCGCCACTTTCTTGCTCAAGAGCTGCAGCAGCGTGGTCATCTTCGTCTTTCTTACATGGCCTCTCGGACCAACACTGCTGACGTCTTCACCAAGGCCCTCGGGTCTGGTGATCTTCAGCGTTTTTGCACTGCTCTTGGGCTTCTGCCCGTTCTACCTCGCCTGCTTGTCTCTTGATCTTGCACTTGTTGTACACTGATATCTATATTTATACCTACATGTTTCCTCTTGCTAGGTTGTGATCAGTATACTGCCTTGCTATTATAACTCGTCATGTGAACTGGCATTGTGGTCGCTTGCTTGTGCTCGGATAGTGTGGTGTCCCTGAGATCCACCCTGAGCTTTGCTTTGCTCTGTTGTCTTGCTTGACTGGTCTTGTGACCGTCTTGTTGTCCCCCACTTAGCCTATGGGGGTGTGTCAAAGTACAATCTTACTTGTAGGCTATAGTGGGGCACTCCTCATGAAGTACAGCACTTCTAGGGTTAGTATTTGTACCCCAAATCTTGCTAATCCAATCATTCCTGTGTGAAAGTTTAAAAGGAAGAAGAGAGAGTTGCACTAGCAAGAATGAGGATACAAATAGCAAACCCTAGAAGGGTTGTACTCGCTATAGAGCACCCCACTACAGGCTAGAGCATAATATTCTGACACACCCCCATAGCCAAAGTGGGGTGTAATCAGCAGAGCAAGTAAAGCAGTACAAGCTCAGGGTGGATCACAATGTCACCACACATTCTGAGCACAAGTTCAAGAAGCAATAGTTTAAAGTTCACAATTATGAGCAAAGCTAGTGGTAGTCACAGAGGGCAAGTGAGGAGGAGGAGAGACTGTGGGGGAGAGAAGATGGGAGGCGACTGCTGACGCTGCAGACACACAGACGAGCTGCTGGCTCAGTGGCTACCGAAGCAAAGGCCCGGACTACAGGAGTAACTGGCTCCGCGGCTAAAAGTAGCGGCAGACGAGCAACTGACCCACAGGCGACTGGCGACTACCGGAGATTGTAGCCTCTGGACTGCTGGTGCTGCTGACGACAAGACTGCTGCCTCCACTTAACCTCCCCCAGCTGCCCAACACCCCTCTCACACACCCGCTGCTACACCGCTAGCTCCACTCCCCCTTCACCCCCCCTTAGTACCACTCCAACGGCTCCAACAAGTCCACCCCCCCTCAGCGGCAGCTGCAGCACAGGGAGACGGAGGAGGAGGAGGAGCAGGGAACGGCACACAGTGGCTTCACCCCCATACCCCTCACCCCCAAACCCTAATTCAGGAGAACGGGCTGTAGGAGGGGTGGGGCGCCAGTAGAAGCACGGGGGACAGCGGGGAGGGCAGGGGTAGCGAGGAAAGGGCCGCCCACGGGCCTGGCACAGCCGCCCGAACCGCGCGCAGGCGACCCGAGCCGCGCGCGGGCCTGGCGCAGCCCGTACGGGCCGCGCGCGGGCCTGGCGCAGCCCGTACGGGCCGCGCGCTGGCCTGGCGCAGCCCGTACGGGCCGCGTCCGGGCCTGGCGCAGCCCTTACGGGCCGCGCGCAGCCTGTACGGGCCGCGCGCAGCCTGTACGGGCCGCGCGCAGGCCACGACGGGCGACGGGGGGCGACGCGCGGGTCCCCGTCGCCCGTCGCAGCGCCTCCCGAGGGCGACGCGCCGAGTGACGGGGCAGAAGCCCGCCGCGCGCCTCGGGGCGCACAGCGGGCAGAGAACCGCCGCGCGCCACGGGGCGCACGGCGGGCAGAAAACCGCCGCGCGCCTCGGGGCGCACGGCGGGAAGAAAAACTGCCGCACGCCACGGGGCGTGCGGCACAGAGGGTAGCAGTGGAAGTTGCAGCGGAAGCAACGAGGTGGTAAGACCACCCACAGGATCGATCCAAGGGGATCGACCTGCTCTGATAGCATGTGAAAGTTTAAAAGGAAGAAGAGAGAGTTGCACTAGCAAGAATGAGGATACAAATAGCAAACCCTAGAAGGGTTGTACTCGCTATAGAGCACCCCACTACAGGCTAGAGCATAATATTCTGACATCCTGCACAGTTATTCTGACAGTATTTGCATACCTGCCTCAGGTAGCTAGTGTACTAAATAGTTATTATATACCAACTGCTGGTGGTGGTGCCCTTTTACTTTTCTCTCGTTTCTATTTGTACTCCCAACTCCATATTAAAAACACTATTTGGCCAATTCCTTGCTCTCGATACCATCTCCATGCTCCTAGCTCCTAACTCCTACTTCCTACCGTATTCTCCTGGACATAACACCCTAGGGTATATCTAAAAATACAGGAAAAAAAATGGGGGGTGTCTTTTCATAGGAAAAAGCTACATAATACCCGGGTGATATGGTATATTTAGTGTTAGTGTTTTTTTTAATTGAACAACTTGAGTGTTTCCATAGTCGTTTTAACATCACATGTTGAGGCGCGAATGTGAGTTTCGACGCAAACGTCATCACCTTTCGAAAATGCCACGTGACACATCTCTGGCCACTTGCAGCGAAAGATTCTCCAGCGCGTGGCGACAACGAGCTTGTGGGCGGGGGAAAATCTCGGCAGATTTGAAGTGAAAGAACTGCGAAATTTCATCGAGGGAGGGATTTTCGCGATATCCTCCCATACTTGCACCTACTCGTTAACAGCTATAATAGGGAATCTGTAAGAAAAGGGGGGTGTTATAAAAAACACCCAGAAGGGGGGGTATAGTAGAAACGAGGTCACCCACAACACCCACCCCGCACAAGCTACCCGGGGGTGCTCGATCATGGGGGGGGGTTTGTCTAGGAGAATACGGTATCTGTACACATATGTCATGTGTACTTCGTAGGCTACATTGGGCTGTACTGTAGAGAGGCTGAGATGTTAAATGTATTGGTTCATCATGCCCCTTTCATTCAGGTTTTTACAATTTTGCACCACAAGTGGTTGTGGTGACTGGTTGCTTTCCTGTCACTTTTTATTGTGAGATATGGATAGCTATCCAACACTCTGGCAGGGTGCTCACCCGTTTTAAAGAATTTATTGAAGCACCGTAATGTATTTTTGGGGATTACAGTCTCATGCTTATCATTGTGACACATATTTGTCTGAATGAGCTTGCAACATCCGTGCCGATGCTTTGGAGTCCAAGAAGAGAAATGAAACTGCATCAATATCTTCCTGAAAGAGCAACCAACCCATCGAAACACACAATAAAGAGCTTAGGGATTTGGGGAAACAAACAAACAACAAACAAACCAACATGACAAACGAATAATACCTTTGCCAGGTTGCTTCGACCATTTGCCTTGGCCACAATACTGCTGGGTGTGAGAAGCTGAACTGCATGTCTGCACGGCAGTAGTGATGGCGCAGCAGAGGAGCCGTGCAACCAAGACAATCCCATCAGCAGACACATCACAGAAGGAGCTGACACGAATCAGGCACAACACTGTGAGCGGCCACACTGGGGCAAGGAATGCCCCGAGGACAAAGGAAGGGGAAGAGGTTGAACCTGAGGGACGTTCTCTCTGCAATCTCGCCGAGCAAGGCAAGGCAGTGCTCGTCTATGGAGAGCCCCTCCACCTGCGCTCTGATGGCTATGATCTGCCCATGCACCGCGCACACACAGGGGGGGGGGGGGCACCACACCTTGAGCATCACTGCTGGGAAAACTGGAGAGCTCTTGAATGGTTGCTCCTTATCCCCTCCTCTTCTGGTTGGACAGTCCTAATGTGGGAAGGCTTCGTGGAAGTGAATCATGTGATCCAGTGGTTGGCATGGCGTGTGATATAACGCATCTCATCACCTTGAGCATCTCATCGGGGGTGTATGGCAGTGTGGTGATGATGACTAGGCGGTCAAGCAAGTCAACAGGGATGCCATGCGGACTCAGCACATCCGTTCCCCTGCTCACAAGCCACGCCACGCCATGCCATGCCACACCATGCCATGAGGATGCAGCAGCAAGGAGAGGATAATGCAGAGGAGCACATGGGAGGTTCACCAGTGACAGGGCAGGGAGTGAGAGGACGAGTGGCATGCGTGCAGGGCGAGCAGAAGCTACACGAGTGCTGGAAGGAGGAAACGGAGATATGTTCAAAGCCAGAAAGCTTCAGAGGAGAAGGGGTTCGAATGCAACGAGGAGGCGAAGGGGAGAAGCAAGGCGGAGGTTGGTGGGGAAGGGGGATAGGGGCGGATGGGAAAGTGAGAATGTGACTAGGGAGAGGGCGGCATGGGTGTGTGGTTGAAGGGGCAGCTGGTGTGGTGGGGTGGAGTGGAGCGTACCGAATGGGGCAGATGCCTCGGTTGGTGGCGAAGATGACTATGGGTGCTAGCTGACTCTCCAATGCTCTGTTGAGAAACGTGAAGCACTCTATATCGAGCATGTGCACCTGATGTGAGATGAGGGGACAGAGCACAGGTGAGAGGGGAAAACCTCGGAAGCCTGGGAATGCGCGGACACACACGCAGAAATATATACACACACTGTCATCCACACACGCACACACGCACACACGCAGGCAGACAGACACACAGACACACAGACACACAGACACAGACACACAGACGCACAGACGCACAGATGTAAACACGCACACACGCACACACACAGACGCACACACGCACACACACAGACGCACACACGCACACACACAGACGCACACACGCACACACACAGACGCACACACACAGACGCACACACACAGACGCACACACGCACACACACAGACGCACACACGCACGCACACAGAAGCACACACGCACACACACAGACGCACACACGCACACCCACAGATGCACACACGCACATGCACAGACACACACACGCACACGCACACACGCACACACGCACACGCACACACGCACACGCGCACGCACAGACGCACACGTGCACAGGCGCACAGGCGCACAGACGCACAGACGCGCACGCACGCACGCACACACACACACACACATGCGTGTGCGCGCATGCACATCCACAAGCATGGGAAGGGAAGCCGGAAAGTGCAGGCAGAGCAGCACACCTCATCTATGAAGAGCACCCCTGGGATGAGCTCCGCTATGCCCTCGTCTATGTACTTGTTCACCACCTGCTCCCGCCCCCCACCCACCCCCCCCACTCGCACACGCGCACAGCCACCATCACACGCACACCGAGGAGGGGAGCGAGAAGCGGAACGGGAAGGAGAGAGGCTGTGAGAGGGTGGAGTGTAATCTACGAGTACCCTAAACCCCCTTCCAGTTGAATACGAAATGACACCCCGTCCACCACCCATACTTCCCATCTCCTCCACTCCCCTTCCTTCCCACTCATCATGCCCTCCTCCCTCCCGTCCCCTCTTCTTATCCCTTCCTACTCTTCACCCCACACACTCTCCTTTCCTACCCTCTCTTCTGTCCATTCACTAACACCGGCCACATCTACACCTCGCCCCTCCCCTTGGCCCAACTCCCTCTCCAGCACTGCCCCCTCGGGCACCTTGTTGATCTCTTGCCGCAGCTTGTCGGTGACCTCGGTGCGCTTGTGCTTCAGCAGCGCGCCCATCATGCTCATGATGTCCTGCCCGCCCTGCGGTGCCGCGTTCGCCGCGTCCAGGTCGTGCAGCGTCACGTCCTGGTGCCAGGGGAGGCAGAGGTGGGAGGGCGGAGGGAGGGGGGAGGAAGGATACCGGGGAGGGATCGGAGGGAGAGTTGGGGTGATGGAGGGGGGAAGAGAAGGAGCAGCGAGGGACGAGAGTCGGGTGGATGGGCAGGACGGGAGCAGGCAGCAGGCATAGAACATCAAACGGGGGGAGGTTGCTCCATGCAAGTGCGGGAGGCGGCTTGTGCGGACATGGCACTCAGTGCTGTGCGGTGGAGGGATGGGTTGCAATTGAGCGGAGTGGCAGACTGAGTGGCGAAGCAGATAGCAAGAGGGAGGACCCATGTGTAGTGCAACTGCCCCTCACACAAACACCTGCTGCACCTCTCCACAGCTGCCCCCCCCCCTCCCCTCTTTCCCCATCGTTTCCAACAAGCACGGCCCCCACTGAGACCACCTAGCATCCCAGTACCCCACCGCAACCCCACACTCACAATCTCACCATCCCTCCCCACTCCCCCTCCCATCCCCTCTTCCCCTCATTGCCCCCCTCACATCGCTCTACCTCGCCCTCCCGCCTCTCAGCCCAGCACCCACGTGCACCACACACTCCCCCCTGCCTCCTTCCCCCCCCACCACCCCCCCTAAATTCCAAGTGAGCCCCCCACCACCCCCTCTTCTGTGCACCACCCACTACCCCCTCCCTCCCGAACCCAAGGCGTGTGGCTTGCCTGCACGAGCTCCTTGCGCTTGTGCACGTCGCCCTTGGGCACGGGCACGTACTCCTCCGCCTCCAGGTCAAACTCGCTCGCAAACGCGTCGCTGCGCCCCACGCGCTTCACCGCGCCGCTGTTCGCCTCTATGTAGATCACGTCCCCCACCGCCACCTGCGCGCCCAGGAGGGGGAGGGGGGGGGGGGGGGTTGGTGTGGGAGAGGGGGTAGGGCGAGGGAAGGAAGGGGGAGGGAGGGGAGGAGGTGGGAGCGGGATGGCACGGGGGGAGGAAAATCTCGAATCAGGTGGGAGAGTGCCGCCTGCGGGCATTGGGCATGGGGGGCAAGGCACACATGGGGATAAGGCCAGGGGAGGGACGGGGTGGTGCGGGAGTGGGGTGAAAGGGGTTACTGTAAGGGCGAGGGGGAAAGATTATCGCTGTGGCATGCTGGTTCACATCACATGAGGGGTGTGTTGCCCAAGCACGTACTAGTTCGATTGAGGAAGAAAGACGCAAGTGGAGGGGGAAGCAAGGAGGAGAGGAAACCAAAAACCGTTCGAAAGAAAGAACGAGAGAGAGAAAATAAGTAGAGCAGGTGAGAGGGAGACTGAGAGGGCATAACGGAGAGAGGAGGCGGCAGGGTAGGGAGGGTGGCGACGTGTGGCGACCTTTTCTTTGAGCAGGGCGTCGTAGATGGAGGGGTCGAGCTTGAGGTGCTTGGTGCCCTTGACAGTCTTGAGCGCCACCACCACGTGGCTGATGGCCTTGCCGTACCCACCACTCACACTCTCCGTCTCCTCCGCCGCCAGCTCCACCACCTGCCGTGCACTCACCCAGAGATGTGCGCACAGGGGGGCGAGGGCAGAGGGATGAGGACGATGAGTGGGAGGGTGATGCGGTTGCTGTGCGGCTTCCCTGCACTCTCTGTCCCCTGTGCTGCCAATGCCGCCTGCCATGACTTACCGTTGGTGCTGACAACAGAGGATCGTGTTTGAACAGCTAACAGGAGGGGAAAGAGGAGTCTCTGCTGCTGTGCTGCCCGCTCCACCACTTGCCATGCAATAGCGGCACACGGGAGAGGGGTGATGGTAACGCGGAGAATTCATACGTGTTGGGGCGAATGGGAAGGGGATGGAAACAGGAAGGGAAGGGGATGGGGAGAGGTGGAGGCGGGTTGGGCTCAAAGAAGGGAGAGCGGGGAGAAACGAGGAGAGGGGCAGAATGGGAGCAACATGACGCAAGGAAGCGGTCGGCGGGGAGGGAAGGGAACAAGACAAAGGCATGGGTGGGTCTCTAGATGCATAAACACATGCATGCACGTGCGAGTACATGTTCGCCCTCTCACCTCGCCCTCACCTCGCCCTCACCTCGCCCTCACCTCGCCCCCTCACCTCGGCCCACCTCACCTCGCCCCCTCACCTCGCCCCCTCATCTCGCCCTCACCTCGCCCCCTCACCTCGCCCTCACCTCGCCCTCACCTCGCCCTCACCTCGCCCTCACCTCGCCCTCGTAGACCTCTTTCTTCTCGCGGATGCGCAGCCCAATGGCACGGCGCAGGTGCTCCATGAGCACGGCCGTCTTCTTCACCTCGCTGCTGAACACCTCCGACCCCACCATCGGGCAGAACGGCACCTGCACGCGCCCCCCCCCCCCCCCCCCCCCCACACACATGCACAAGCACAAGCTGTTTGAGGGGATCGTGGCAGGGCGGAGGTTGAGGTACGGAGTTGAGAGAGGGGAAAGACTCGAGAGAAGGGGTGAGGGGAGGGAGAGGTGGTGTAAGAGAGGGGAGGTGCGGTGGGCGAGGTTTGAGGAGAAACGGAGGAGGACAGTGGCAGAGGGGGCAGGAGAAACGACGGGAGGCGGAAGGAGGGAGAGGGGCATGGGTTGAGAGGAGGAGAAGAGAGCGGGAGGTTGAGATTATAGGGCGGCGGTGTGGAGCAGCGATGGTGGGAAAACAGAGCCACGCCCTGCCGTGCACACACATCCCGTGGGAAGGCACGATACGAGATGTGACGGGGCGCGAAGGGGTGGTTGGGTGGGGAGGGGGGAGGGGTGGGGGAGTGAGAGGAAGAAAAGGAGAGGGAGGAGCTGTGGGAGGGGTTTGAGGGGATAGCAGAGGAGGACAGTGGACAGAAGGCGCAGGAGAAACGAGGGGAAGCGGGGCGAGCGGGGAGATGAGGGGATGCAGGCGGAAGGCGGGTGGTAGACTGACGGAGGGCGATGGTTTGGAGCAGGAGTGGAGGGGGAGGGGAGAGCAAGGGTACGGTGCAGCGTGAGCGCACTGCCATGCACGTGACTCCGGAACCACCTCACCCCACTCACCCAACATTCACACCCTTCCCTTTCACGCGCTCCCTCTCCTCCAACCCCCCTACTTGTTATAAACCCACGCGCTGAAACCCCTAGATCCTGACCCTGGCATCGACCATAAACCCGCTTTCCACCCAATCCCCGCCTTCAACCCCTCATGGGAGCCCATACCTCCTTGCAGCCCACCGCACCCCGAAGCCCCCCGCACCTTGGACCCCAGCTCCTGCGCGATGCCCAGCGCCAGCGCCGTCTTGCCCGTGCCCGGCGCGCCCGCGAGCAGCAGCGCGCGCCCCGCCATGCGCTTGGAGCGGATCAGGTCCACCACCAACCCCGCCGCCTCGCGCGCGCGCTCCTGCCCCACAAACCCCCCGCCCACCGCCACTGCGCTCCCATCCTCCTGCGGGGAGAGCGCGCGCGAGCAGGGGCGGAGGGGAGGGGAGGGGGAAGGAAGGGAGGGTTCAGCGACGATGCAACCGCCGCTCTCCTGCCCCGCGAAACCAAAACGCTGGGGGGAAGAGCGAAGACGGCGGGTAGGTCTGGGCACAGCGGGGAAGAGGGGAGACGGGCGGAGCCACGAGTGGGCGGTGGGTCGGGAATAAGCAGCGACCGGGAACGAGTGCGCGAGAGCGGCAGGGAGACAAGAGCGTGATTGCGATGCATCCAAATGGGGACGGCGAGTCGCATGCGCAAAAGCACGTGCGCGATCGTTTCTCGCGGAACGATCGCAGCGCTGGCACGGAAGAGTACATCCGCCCTACAGCCATGCCCCGCCACCTTCGCTATCCCCCAATAATCTTCGACACGCGGCGACGTCGGACAACGCGTCCCCACCGCAGATCACGGGCTGAATCGACGGCTTCGACACGCGCGCTGAGGACCGCAAACAAAAGGGAAAGGCCTGGTGGCGGTTCGAGCCTCTGGCTAGACTAGCAAGCGCGTGAAGGCGCGGCCGTGTGGTTGGTGGCACCTTGAGGCCGAGCCCCTTGATGTGCGTGTGCGACGCCACGCGCTGCTTCTTGCTCGTCGACTGTACGTCCTCGATCTTCATGCTTCGCGCTGCGCCAATCCCCACACTTGCTCGCTCGAGCGGTCTCCCGACGACGAGGATGACGAGAAATGAGCTATATTCACGAAGGCGTGTTTCAGAAGCTGACTCGCACGTGATGAGCACGAGAGAAATGGCTGGAGGCAACTATGGGTCGGAGCTTCCGTCTAGGTAAAACCAAGTCGTTGTATCCGCGGTTCTGTCCACTCTGATTTCATCTTAGGTAAGGATGGGAATAATCAACTACCAATAGGTTGTAATTTTCTATCATATATTTTCTATCTAAAAGGGTTCCGTTTAGCGTTGTATGAGTTGTACTAAACAGAGTGCGCGGAAGACTTCTATAAAGAGACTGTGGATACAGAATGTGTTACGAATAGTGATTATCGAAACACTACTGTACACTCCTCTCCGCAACAACCAAAGCACGCACTACCGGGAATGAAGATGAAAGGGCGCAAGTGACGCGAAGAGTCACACGGTTACGAAAAGCATCTGGACCGTCGGGCAGACAGCATCAGGCAGCAGCAGTGGCGAGGATTCTGCCCGAACAGTTACGTAACCACTCGGAGTCGCACGGTTGGATTTCGCTGTAATAAGGGAATGTACCCCTTAGAGTACATGGCTAGCTAGGTCGTTTCGAATTCCCCTGTACTCATATTTATATTCCTTGTAATGCATGTTTTTAATCATCTCAAGCATTTACATTCACTCTGCTATTGAGGTCAAGGGCCCACCACCACTAGACTAGAACTGTGCGAACCTTCCTGAGGTGATCCTGGTTACGATCACTTTCTGATTCTAACATGGTATGAGAGCGACTCAGGAATCCTTCACACAGCCACCTCCGAAATATACGACATTCGGAAAGTGGCGTCCGGCACACGATCGCGTGTAAGAATGGCCGGAGGATCTGGAGGTCAGACGAATCTGACGGCTGAAGCGCAGCCCAATCCGGCTGCGACAAGCGAGGAAACGACGACAATCCCTTCCGCCGTTCTCGCACAACTGCTTCAGCGACTCACGAGCCTGGAGCAAGGGCTCCAAACATTGCGGAATGGCGATGCGGGAACTTCTTCCCAACCCACTCAACCGGCCTCAAACGGCCAAAACTCCGCCCCGCAAGGCTTCTCTCTCGATACGAACGGCTCAACCCCCAAGACTCCCTGTCCCAGCGACGAAGCAATTCTCTCTGCGCAATCAAGGTTTTTGAGCATATCAAAAATAAAGACAAGTGTGTGCTTTGACGGCAGAGACTTCTATACCTGGAGCTTCGAGCTGGAACTGCTGCTGCAAAACGCGCAGATTTACCATTATTTCGACGGGAGCTACTCGGGACCTACGGAAGATACTGACGACGCAAAAACCAAGTACTACAACGAGTCCCTGATGGCGTATGGGGTTCTTCTGCGGAACATGTCGCCGACGGAGCAATTGAGCATTCGCGCATACAAGACCTCCCCTGCTCCAGCCCTCAACGCCTGGCGCCACCTGAACGGCGTGTACCAACCCAAGGACTCAGTGTCGTCGAGCCGCCTTCTCCAGCAGCTACTGGAGACGAAGATGGCACCAGGAGAGAAGGCCAACAGCTACCTGAATCGCTGTCGGAGCTTACGCGATCAAATCGCGAAATTGGGGAGCTCGATATCTGAGGAGATCTTCGTGAACATTGTGCTCCAAGGGCTCGGCCCAGAGTGGCGGCCCTGCAAGGCGCTTCTCCGACAGCAGGGGGTCATCTCGGAGGCCGCCCTTTGCGCCGCCCTTCTCGTCGAACAAAGGGATATGGACCAGCAGCGACCAGCGCCGCGACGAGACAAGGAGCGCCTCGCCTTCTTCGCCGACAACACAGAAGAGCGACGGCCGCGGCGCCTTTACTGCAAAATCTGCAGGAATTTCGGGCACCTGGCGGATCGATGCAAGCTTCGATCTCGCCCTCGCCAGACCAATCCGAGAAACTGGTCCGGCCGACAAGACGCGAGGAACGACACGCGTCCCGCCCAGGGGTATCAACCCCCATCGCGCAACCTGAACCCAACAGTTCAGCAGCAGCAGCAGCCATCACAGGCCACCTCCGTCCGCAACGTCATGGGGAACATGACCATGACGAGTGGATCTCGTCGTCCGCGCGCACGCTCACCGTCACCCGAGCCGGCGCCTACCCCAATCGAAGCGTTCTCGAACAACAATCCGTTCAGCACGCGTCACGACTACAGCGACGACGACAACCAGGACTGGAATCTACCAGTCCCGCTGCTTGAGAGCCCTCCGCACGTACCTGACATGCGGCCGGCACCGATCGACTGGATTGCGCGCGAACAGTTTTTGAAGGTAGACACTCCACACATCGTCACTCCGCGACTGGCGCTGCTCGCGCGAAACGACAACAGGCGCTACAACAACTGGTACCTGGACAGCTGCTGTGGGCAGCACATGGTGGGCTCTGAGCGTTACATATCCAACGCCATCCCCACCCCCGCCGTCACCTACGTAACTGTGGCGAACAACACGCGGCTGCGCGCAAGCGCGCAAGGCATCGTGGTGCTCAAGGCACGAGGGAGCCGAACGCACATCACACTCAACGACGTGTTGATTGTGCAGAACCTGCGCTTTAATTTACTCTCGGCGGTGCAACTCCTGGATTGCGGAGTCATCCCCAGCACTGACCCCGAGACGCGCGACATCCTGCTCCACTTCACGATGCCGAACAAGAAGCGCAAGCAGATCGGACGGGCGCGCGCCGAGAACGGCGTATACGTTCTCGACTTCGACATTCCCGACTGCAGCGGCGACTCGCAGGAGTTAATCGACCTCGTCCCTCTGCGATTCGAACACATCCTTCGTCGCGATTGGAAGCACCCTGATGGGCGCCCCTGGGTGCCACACCACCCACACCCGCGCGAACTGGCGCTGCACGACCCCGACCCTGACGGCATCTGCAGAGACTGCCACACACCCACGTCTTCGACGAGCGCAATCGCTGGCCGCGGCCTCGCCGCCATCCGCGAAGCAGAACGCGACGCACCGCCTGAAGAGGGAATCTCCCAACTGGAGCTGGAAACAGCAACACGGGTTGTCTTCGGCACTCCGGAACATCCCCTTCCCGGACCCGCGTCTCAGCATCTCCAAGGAATGCTCCGCGGCGTCGGAGTCGGCACCTTCGATGCGCATGGCAATCCACGTCCCTACACAGCGGAAAAGGCGGCAGAGATCTACTCTCACCGGCGCAATTCAAAGAAGAAGCTCTCGCCGACAGAAGAAGAGGCATTGGCGCAACAAGAAGCCGAAGAACTTCGGCGGAAGAGCCTCGCCGAGGCACGCGGAACGCTCGCCTGGGAGCAGGACGAGGAAAGCGCCTCCAATGAAGGGGGGTGGGGGGGCGCCGGCGGATGGGGAACGAGCGACACCAGCGGCTGGGGCGTCGCAACCGGCGGATGGGGCGCAACAACAGGCGCAAACATCGGCGGATGGGGCGCCGCACAAGGCGGCAAGACGAGCGGCTGGGGAGCTGTCCGCGAGGATCAAAGGGGGGAAGAGGCAGAAGAACCTGCGCATGCTGAGGTCGAACCTCCTGTTGTTCCTCTCGGACGCCATCCGCGCCGCCCTACGTTAGGACCACCGCCGCCTGACATCCCTTCAGGTAGTGACCCCTGGGACACCATTGACTGGGGAAGTGAACCACTCACCCCGCGACGCACTGTCTACGGACCTGCCCCTGAACCGCGCGAACCGACGTTCGCACTTGGCACGATCCCCGGAACCAACATCCCCTACTCCAACATCCGCGACAGAGAATTTCTCGCCCTCATGCTAACGGCGGCGAACGAGGAAGAAGAAGAGAACGAGGGAACAGCGCCTACACCTGCACCGGCACCTGACGAAGACCCCGCAGCCGCACTGGAGCGCTACATGCGCACATCTGGATTCCGCGCCGACGACGCCATCTGGCATCAGCGCCTAGGTCACCCTTGGCGCGTGACCCTGAAGAACTGCATCGAAGCCGGCGTCTTTGCACCTGGCGCGCTGTTGCGCCCTGACGGCTCCGAAGTGAGAGGAGGGACTCACCCGCGCAGCTGCACTGTCTGCCCCGAAGCTGCGCTGAGTCACCAGCCCTTCCCCCTACTCGAGCCAGGAAACAATCGCTACGCCAAGCTTGAGAAGGTTTACAGTGACTTTCTCAACGTAGGACACTGCGGCATCAACGACGAACTCTACACACTCACCTTCGTCGACGCCGGAACGCGCCACGTGTGGGTCGTAAACGTGGAAGCGCGTAGCAGAGCCTACGAAGCATTCCGTCTGTGGCTGGCGCACGCGCAGCGGCAATCAGGGGAGAAATTGAAGATCTGGCAGTCCGATGGTGCGGCGGAGTTCAGGAGCAAGGAACTGCAGGATTACCTCGCGCAAAAGGGGATCGAGCATCACATCTCCCTCCCCTACGCGCACCAGCAGCAGGGCGTAGCGGAGCGCACGAATCGCACTCTCATGACGAAGGTACGGGCGCTAATGCGGCAGGCAAAGCTCCCGCCGATCTACTGGACCTACGCGATGCACCACGCCGTGCGGGTGCACAACCTGCTGTCAACCACCGCAATCACCGGCAACTCCTCGCCGCCCGTGAAATGGACGGGAAGAAAGGGGGACACCTCCATGCTCCGCGTCTGGGGCTGCATGGTTCAATACCGACCGCCAACATCAACCATCGGGAAGTTCAAAAGCCGCGCGCGCTGGGGAATCCATCTCGGTATCAGCCACGAACACAAGGCGTGGATCATCCTGGATCTCCTAAGCCAGAAAATCAAGAATGCGCGCGATGTCATCTTCTACGAGCGACTGTTTCTGCAACAATTTCGTGACGACGAGCAGACGAACGCAAACCGCGTCTACGCCAACAAGGGCCACAGCTACGCCTCACCTGAGGACGAAGCAGCAGCAGCAATTCTGGAGCAGGATCCCAGAGGCGAGTTCACGAGGGGCGATCGCCGCGACGACGACGACGACGACGA